CGATCCCGTTGCCGGTCCCGGTCCGGTACGGGCGCGACAATGAGGGTTGCGATCCGTTGCCAGACACGGAAAAAAAAGACAAAAAAAAAGGAAAAAAAAAAAAGAAAGACACAGCCTTTGGTATAAAATGGAAAGTATGTTCCACCAGAACAAAGAGAAGGATTGTCTTATATAGCAAAAGCCCATGCCCAGGTTCCCACTCTGGCCCTCTATGCAACTGAGGAATTCAAGCTTGCTCAGTCCTGAATGGTTTGGTCCCTTATGCAAAAGAGGAATTCTGGCTTGCTGAGTTCTAGCCAGTTAACACTTGGCAGGTTACAGTCCATAGGTGGTGAAGTAAGGCTTCCCCATAGCAGTGGACAGCGGCACAAACAGGGACAAGTGAGAGCCGGCCCGTGGCTCACTCGGGAACGGGAAAGTGCGGTGCTGATAACACCAAGGCCACGTGTTCAGATCCCTACATAGGGATGGCCAGTTGCTCAATGCAGAGAGCGTGGTGCTGACAACACCAAGTCAAGGGTTGAGATCCCCTTACCGGTCATCTTTAAAAAAAAAAAAAAAGAAAAAACAGGGACAAGTGGCTTATGAAAGTCTCAAACAGGGTACATGTATGACCTCTAATCAGCAAATGGCTACTTGGCTCCATTCGGAAATGAGACCCAGTTAGCCATCCAGGGGCCATTTCAAGGAACTGGCTCTTCCAGCATTCACAAAATCAAATTAAATGGCCATCTAAAAGGTTTCACCAAACAAAACGTACCCATTAAAAAAAATGGATACTTATTTCATGCACTTACTAGGGAGAAATAAAGTTGACTTTATCATTTTGACTATATTTTTAGTAATAATAATTCATAAAATAATGATTACACAGCCAGGATCCATCTCCAGGATCTGCTAGTATACTTCAGAAGTTTTACCTAGTAGAGGCCTTAATCAACAGCCACCAAACTAGCCCCCTAAACCCCTCTAGAGTCCTGGGCCCAGCTAGCCCAGCAGTCCCCCATCTACTCTGCTGGGAGGCTTGACTCTATTCCCCTTGGTCCTTTCTTTCAGGGATTTCACAAACATGCCTCCATTCCCACTGTATTCGACCCCTGGAAACTCAAATCAGAGATCTGACTAGCACTCCTCCAGTTATGCCTGTTTCACAGTAATAATGAGAAACATGAACTCACAGAATATAGTGATATTAAAACTGATGAACATCTACAGTTCAATGTAATGTGAATTAAGGAAGGATGATCGATAAGGTACCCATGGCCTTATAATTTTAAGTGTGGTTTTTATTATGACTTTCAACACTGCTGGGAAGAAGAACATTCATATTTTATGGACAAAGCAACAGGGCTCCAGCTCTGATTTTGTTTCTGGTACTCAATGGAAAGGCTACTCATGATCCTTCATTATATACTTAAATCACACCAATGCAATAAATTATTAGCAAAGATTAATTATTAAACTGATTGTGTTCTTTGAAGGCATGGTTGATTCAATTTTACTACCTCCCCTTCCCCGCTCCCACCCCATCCTTATTGACACAGAATCTAGCAAAATGCCTGGCACAGAATAAGCCCTCAGTTCTACCTGTCTATCTGTCCATCCATACTGAACACTTTCAAATAAAGTTGAAATATAATATTAAACTGGTCCATACAGGGCAATTTATAATTAAAATAGCATCCTCTTAGGGGAGAAATACCTTGGGTATAGTTTAAGAGGTTGAAACCAACTAACCATCAAAGTGGAAGAAGTGATTGTGTTGGTTTAAGCGAGGTCTGCCTTCAGCTGCTGCTACAGGAACCAAATTTTCATCCAAGTTCTCGCCTTGATGGTCTTCCCTGACACGATTATTGTCAGCAATATTAAGAGACATTCTGCATGTTGGACAGGAGGTGTCTTGTTCTAGCCAGGAACGAAGACAGGAGCTACCAAAAAGTCCAAAATAAGATATGTGAACACACTCGATTGTTCCTTAGCATATTTTGTAAGAATTCACCAGAAGTATTCTGAATGTATCAAATGTGTCCCAATTTTACTTTCTATTTACGACTAGCAAGATTTAAATGTTGAGAAACATTTGCGGACATTTCCTCTTTACTCTATTTCACTCCAGTACACTTCTAGCATGTTCTGCAGTGTACATTAAAATCCTTTACCACACGTAGTCATCCACCAAGCTCCTACTCATGAGCCCTCTTCGTCAATAAGACTTCAGAGCGCAGCTCACCAGCTTCCTTCCCAACTCTATTTGGCTACTTCAAAATCCGTGTGACTAAACCATCCACCCACCCTGGCCTCTCTGAGTCCTCTGTTCCAATGCTCTTTTCTTCATTCTGCTCTAGCTACCTACCAACATGGTCATAACCTTGGCCTTATCTACAAAATCTTGACTTCAGAGATCTCACTCACTCACTCACTGAAGCTCATCCCTCCAGCTCCCTTGTCTGGGACCTAACTAACTTGCCAAGACCACCCAGCCACTTTTTCATCTAGCACGCAGTCCCGCAGGCCTGTCTTCTCTCCATCTTCTCTGTAACCGCTCCCTTGCCCTCACCACCTCCACTTCCTCCACGTACTTCTCTTTGCATTCTGCCTTTCCAATGAGGCTGACTGCTGCTTTTGCTCTCTCAGGAGATGATAATGCCCTAATTATGGCAGACATTCAATAAATACTTCTGGTGTCAACTAAAGAGAAGGGAACTAGAACAAGAAGTAGAAAATGTGAGATCTGGTCCCAACTCCACCACTAACTAGCTGTGTGACCCAGGCAAACCCTTCAACCCCTCTGGACTAGTCTTCTCTACTAAAAAATGAGAAGGCTAGATGAAGTGATCACCAAGGTCTCCTCCCATTTTCTGAAAATTCTTTATTTTTTTCTAAGAGCTCAGGGAGACACTGAATAAAAATGCCCACTGTTTGTCTTTCTTTTTTTAGCTTCTGTGAACACACACACATACAAAGTTTTAAAGGAGAACCTTGCCATGTTTTGATCCATGGAGTCTCTAGCAAACAAATGGTACTTAAGTAGCAAAACTTTCCCAAAGACTAAGATGGAGCTACTTCTTACCATCTCTGTGTCATAAGAGTGTGACAGAAATGTTCCAAAATAATGTAATCTGCCCATATATGTACATCTAAGTCATTTTT